CATTGACTGTCCTCTGTGTTTGGGATACTCTTCCTTTTCATCTCTGCCTTCTGGTTTCTCAAGCTTCCTTCAAGTCCCAGCTAAAGTCCCACCTTCTACAGGAAACATTTTCTGATCCAACTTAATTCTAGTGCTTTCCCTCTGTTGATTATCTCTAATTGATCTTCTATAGCTTGTCTGTACATAGTTGTTTGCATACTGTACGCTCCATTAGACTGTGAGGTCCTTGAGGGCAGGGAATGTTTTTTGCCTCCTTATTTTATCCCCAGTACTTAGCACAGTGCCTAGCATATAGTAGGTCCTTAATAAAATATGTATTACCTGACTGACTGCTTCATCTCATTGGGGGAAAAAAAGAAGCAAACAAACAGTTAAAGCTCTTCACTGTTCTATCTTCAGGCTTTGTATTAATAGAGAGGACCTATGTATGAACCGAAGCACATGAGTTGAACATAGATTTATTCTGTAAATATTAACAAAAACCATTGCTAAAACCGTAACAGTTCTGTGGTAGATGAAATTACAGCTTCCAATGGCATTAAGTTGGATGGTATTTTAGAAACTTTACTTTTTAATTTGTATCTAAACAGTTTTAAGGGACAGCATGGTGTAATGGATAGAGATCTGGCCTCAATTCAGGAAGAACTGGTCCTGCTTTCAATACATAGTGGTTTTATGATTCTGGGCAAGCTCCTTAACCCTCAGTGTACTAGGCAACTCTAAGACAATAATTTGTATAATACTTATCTCCATTGATTGAAGGAGTTTCCTCCCTGGGAGTTCCCTATACCATTAAAATAACAGAACTAATAAAAATTAAATAATTTGATACTTTTATTAGAAGAATTAGATACATATCCTCCTGCAAATAAGAATATGAATATTATTCTTTATGTTGAAGACATCTTTTACTAGGGATGGGTTTAAAGAGAAGTTAGAATCGTTAACTAACCACACACAACAATTAAGCGTAAATTATTGGGCAAGTGTCCACTAACACTTAATTGGTCAACTGCATTAAATTAGCAAAACTGTTCAGTTATTTTACATGATTATTTTATATTTTTGTCAACTCAATCTGGTGGGTCCAATGAGATGCACTTTTTTGTGTAACCACCAGGTGTCTCCATGGGACAAAGTTTGGCTGGACACTTTTTTTCTTTAAAAAAATTTTTTTCTCCTCCCAAGAAAAGAGAAGAACAGGTGGGTTCCACATTTGCAAAAGACACATGGGGCAGGAGGAGAAGAAGAGGGCATCTACCCCCAAAATGTAATAAAGCAAAGTCATCTCTTCTATATAAGATGTCATGAAGCTTTGGGACTTTGAACCATCACCTGAACAAAAGCTTCCCAGAGTTCCTTCTGGGGAAAAAATTCTGCCTCTCCCTATAGATACACTTCTGCCCATGCCCATGCTAAAGTACATTGGCCTTCTGGGGCAAGAATACCCAGTGCATAAATTTCTGTAGTCACTGCTAGCCTCCTTGCTGTGGCTCTCACTGGAATCAACAGCATAGAATTTCTGTCCTATTTTGTGGGTACCTTTTAGCAGTACTGATTGGGAACTGAATGATGGTCTGACACTTGTCCAAAGCTTGCTTAAGACACTGGATATTTGAGAAAGAAAGTGTAAAGGCCTTGGAAGCCATCTGTTTATTTTGATTTTCTACATTCTATCCCTGCTTTAAGTAAAATCAACAGAAGGCCAGAGAACAAGGACCGCATTTTCTCAGCTCTTCACAGAAAGACCTTTTGGGAAACACAATTTAAAGCTGGGCTTCCTGCCTATACAGAGAGTCATTACAGATCTACCTACATAAAAATTTATATTTTTCATAGAACCTCGGGAATGCTACCAGGATCCTCTCACAATAAATTCCTGATAGAATTTAGTTCCAAGAAAAAGTTTGAATCTGCAGACACATTTGCATGTTTTCTGTCTCGTTGTTAGAGAATGAAAACCATGTAATTCAAAAGTTTTCCTGGTCAGAGCTGATAGAAAGTTTAGAATCTCATTTATTTTTATAGTTAAGCGCCCAAAGAACACCTACTTTGGTTCTTCCAAATGGACTCTGTCCTATTCTGCTTTTAAATGTTTGACCTTTAAAAGGAGCTAACTGCTCAGTTTCAAAACTGTGATGGCCTGATTCACATTGTTAAGTTGAATTTGCAGATTCGTCTTGGAATGGGTTACTTGCTTATTTTTCCTTCCAAGATCCCTTGCACCCATTATCTGTTGTTGGGGTAGCAGCAGCCCTGTCAAGCTAGCTTGGCCTAATAGATAGAGAGCTGGACTGAAAGTGATATCAGAAAGCCACCTCTGACACTTTCTAGCTGTGTGAAAATAGAGATGAATTTTCATTAAATTTTTAAAAATTGAAACTATGATTTCACCAGTGTAGGAAGCTTCTGGTGAAGAACTTTCTCCACTCTAAAACTTATAGCCTTAGAGAGCTGCCCAAGGGTATCAAATACAAGGCTTGTGAGCTGCATGTGGCTCACAACCCTCCCAAGTATGACTTGAACCAGATTAAAATATAATTGGGAAATCCTTAACAAATTAATGCTTTTAAAAAATACATTAAAATTTCTAAGTCAGTACATGGCCTGCAGGGATCCTTACGAACAGTAGCCCTTGTTTTTCTTTGAGTTCGACCCCACTGGTCTAAGACATTCAGAGGCTAAGTGATTGATTGTCTGTCCAGGATCACAGAGCCAGCCAGCATGCAGTACAGGTGAGACTCAAACTCAGGTCTCCTGTACTCTGATGTCACTCTATCATATTATGTTGCGTCTTCATCATAGTCCTAGAGCTAGAAAGAACCTCAGAGGTCAACAAGTCTCATCCCCTCATTTTATAGATGAGGAAATTGAGATCCAGAGCAGTGATGTGGGTTGCCCATGGTTACCCTGGTGCTAAGTGGCAAAGTCCTCCATCGATTTCTTCCCCTCCCCCCTCCCACCGTATTGCCAGTAAATATGGAAAATGGGATTTGAACTGTGGTCCTTGAACTCAAGAACCGGGGTTGTTTCGGTTATGTACCATCTTTGTTAGCCTGAGTTCTTTTATCTGTAAGATGGGAATAATAACACTTTTAGGGTTGTTGTTAGGATCGGGTGAGCTAATGTATGCAAAGTGCTTTGTAAAAAAGAGAAAAGAAAAAAGTGGAGGGCCATTGAAGCATTTTTAAAAATGCACAGAGGGGTGCAGAAGGAAGCACAGACAGGCAAGGCAATTTTGAAAGTAATGGGTCACATTTATTATATTTTTTAAAAGCAATTTTTATGGAAGAGAAATTTGTAGTTTCCTATACAGTTCTCTTTTTGTGTTCTACTTGGCATATGGAAATGTTCAGGGGTTTTTGGTGTTTGTCAAGTTCAAATTTTAAAATAAAAAAACCCCCTAATATCCTTTGTAAATGTTAAAGCACAAGATAAATGTCAGTGATTATTTTTATTATTGTGTTGGAGCACACGAGGCAGTGGAGCAGAGGATTGTGAAGTCATACTGGCGCTGAGATACATACCTAAAGGGCAAGAACCCTCCGGCCATGCCGGCTCCCAGGTCACTGTGAGTCATTGCAATGCGAAGTAACCTGGAGTCAAGTGAACATATTTGGAGTCAACCCCATAGTGCGCTTTGCATCATTAACAGGACTCCTGAGCATGGTCACCTCCATCGCACCATAAGGGACAGGAAGGGGCTGCAAGACAGAGCTTCAGTACTGAATGCCAAGATTAGAAACCCTTTATTCCGTTTTCTTTATTATTTTAATTAATTTCCTGGTGGGGGAATATTGGTATGGTTTCTTTATTGTACTAATTTCATTTACCTTACATGTAGTATACTGCAAATTCCTTGAGGGCAGAGATTTTCATTTGGTATCCCTACCACCAAACCTGGTACTTTGTTGAATTTCCTTTGGCCATTAATTTGGTTTTCCAGCAACTTGAGGCCAAAATTAATGGCTACATAAACTTAGTTCCAGGTTCTTTCCTTCTCTCACCATTGCTGTCCCAGGTACCTGGCTTGCCTTCATGTCACATCTGGCAGCTGCTTTCCTAAGAAGTCAGGTGAGGTTTAGGGTGACTGGGTAACCACATCCTGCCTCCATTTGTTCAGGAAAGGTTTTCCTGGAGGTGATGGAGTTAGAGAAGATCTCTCAGGATGAAGGGAGGGAGGGAGGGAAGAAGAGAGTCAGTAGATTCTGACCACAGAAAAATGCAAACCTGGGGATTGCCTTAAGATTGCCTCTTGCTGTATCCTGAACTCCAAGGCTCTGATGAGGCTTCAATCTAAAAAGGGGTATCAGAACAGCAGGGTACCCTGGGTCTCTCTTAGGCTTTATGTCCTCTTGTATGGCCAACTGGTTCCATGGTGTGGCCCTTTGTGTGAGATGGAAACAGTCTCAGAAGAGCCTAGACCTCTCGGTAGATAGTCTAGAAAAAATGTGGGCCAGGGCTGAGCTGAACCTCCCTGGGATGCTAGTGGCATCTCGTCTCTCCCCAACCTCTCCAGGATGACCCTCATCATAGATTTCCACCATCTGGTTTTGGGCCAATGTCACACTGATTTCTGAGTCTGTGGGCTGAAGGAGTAGGGTGGCTTTACCTAAAATGTTTATGGAAGAGTGGACAGAGTGCCAGATTTGGAACCGGGTCTAAATTTGAATCCTGCCTTAGGCACTTTAGTAAGTACCTTAACTTCTTAAGTCTCTTAAGTTTGGCTGCTTATTAGCCAAAAGTTTCACCTTCCTTTCTTACCAAGCCCTTCTCCCTCCACCAACTAGAGCTACTATCACAGGGAATAATTTGAATATATTCCCTTTAGGCTACCCCTGCCCACATCTACAGTTTGGTGCTGATGAGGGCAATGGCCAAAAAAGTGGCCATCTCTCCTCCCCAGTGAGGAGAAAGGGATATGTCAGTTTCTATACAGTTAAAAATTCAACCATACTTTTGTGTCTGGGTTTCTTAGGAATATTAGACAAGAGACATCGTATTGAGAATTAAGACAGTTTATTGTTTGATTGACCAACATGCTAAGTCTTCAATTTTTTTACACAGTTTTATGGAAAGTCAATATGGCCACTTGTACCTCCTGAGCCAGTAAGAGACGGACATGCCACCACCAGAGCTTCCAACGGCCAGCCAAGTTACAGGGGAGGATTGGGAGGAAGGAAATGAGGGAAGGGGGCAAGAGGATAGTGAAGGAAAGAGATGACTCAAAGCTCCTCAGTTCACACATCAAGATGTAGACTAATGTCCATGCTATGGAAACAATGACTTGATACTGATGTAGAACGACCAAGATGGTGCCCTGGCTCCCTCTCCTGAGGCTGACTTATTGAGTTATGCTCAACCACATTAATTTGCTTAAAGTGGGTTCAGAGTCAGGTGAATGTGTACAATAAGACCCAAGATGGTTGGAATCTAGAAGTATCTTACTTTAAAACAAATTTATCCAAATCTTAAACATCCACACTCTTCAGGCTGCTTTTCATTCTGACACCATTAAGACATTTGAGTCATTGGCCAGTGCTGAGGGTCCTCTAATCTGTTTATCCACCTTCAGGGATATCAGAATGGTCATGGAAAGCCACCCTTCTTTGGAGTGGAGTCCAAGTCTCACTAGTATTATCTCCCGATTTAGGCAGACACTCTAGGTAGAATCTGATTCCTACTTATCAAGTTGGATGAAGAAATGACTAAAACAACTTTATTTCCACCTATTACCCCAAGCATAAAGGCTTTAAAGTATGTCTTCATATAATACACATATAGACACATCATCTGTATATAAATCTAGAGCCCCAGTTATACACATATAAATGGGCACTGGATGAAGAATGAGGAATCCTGGCTTCTGAGATCAGAACAACTTCTGACTTCTATAACTTTGGGCAGGTCACTTTACTCTTCTGTCAGTTTTCCTATCTGCGAAATAGGGAGAATTACAATTCCTATCACGTCTTATCTTGTAGAAATGTATCAAGAATAGTCAAATAAGAGACAGGAAAATGTTTTCATTCTTTGGGGGAAAAGTAGTCTAGAAATCCAAGACTTTGCAGCTACATTGAGCTGTTCTTGAACACCATGTACTAACATGGTGTCTTCTGATAATATCCTTCCCCTGTTTTCCTAGTCTACTTTTCAGTGTTTCAGTCAGTCCTTTCAGGTGATATTACCACCTCCTTTTTGCCTGCCTCTCTTATCATAGGATAAGATATAAAAAGGCATGAGTGTGATGTAATAAAACCTTCCAGTGGATGAAGTTTCATGACTTTATGGCATGCCTTTAACTTGAGTATTTAGAAGTCAGCTGTCTTTAATTCCAGGCCAGTATAGATGAACAGAGAATATCATTCAAAGACTTAAGAGTTCTGAGTTCTTTTCTTCTTGGGGTCTGATTTCTTTTTCTTGTTCCCATACATGTCCTAGAACAATGGAATCTCAGAGTAGGAAGGGACCTTAGAGACCACTAAGCATCCTATCTGGAACTTGAGTCCCCTCTCTGTTGTCTGATTTGTAATGAATACATCAGAGTGAGGAGAGATATGTCAGCCTAAGCATATATCTGGGGTGGCACTATGACAAGAAAGAGTGGCTGGCTTAGGGGTGAAAATGATGGTGGTAAAGCCATTCAAAGAAAAGGATATAAGCTTACTGGATACCCGAGGTGGTCAGGTGCCCCCAGTTGGAGTTCACAACTACAGTTTGGATGTCTGAACTACTGACTCACTTTCTGATGCTACCCTCGACAGGCTTCCCCAACTATGCTCTCTTGTACGTTCCATTAGACCATTTTGGTTGTGGTTCAGTCCCCCAAAACACTTCTTTAAAGGTTGCAGTCCTGAAACTACTGTGATCCTGATTCCACCTTAGCCATCCTGGAACCCAAATACTGAGGGCCAACTGAAAACCCTGTCCAAATTGGAACCTCTCTTCTCAGTCCTTATGAGGGGAAATCACTAAACTTGATTGAGGTCATCTCTAAAAAGATAACAGCTTTGCCCTTCTCTATCCTATTTGGATTTAGCATTTGTAAACCATTCTTTCTCGGGATATTGAGGGGTTTCTCCCGAAGCTTTCTTCTAGGGAACAGATCCACTTTCTTCTTGGACCAAGTATGGTCCAGATCCCGAGATAAAGTCAAGAGATCACTGAGGTAGAATTAAACCCCAGGGTGTTCTCAATCAAGGTTCCACTCTGGTTCTCCAAGCAAGAGTGTGGTGATGCTACCTGGTTAGGATGGGAGAAAAAGGAGAAATGCACTTTTGTGAAGTAGGTTTGATTGCTGGAACAACAGTCCATGAGAAAGGAATTATGGAAGAAGAGGGGAAGGGTGTAGAGAAAGGAAAAGGTCATGGAATGGAAATCAGTGAGACAGGAAGAAATAAAGGCCCTAACCTTTAAAGGAGCATTCAAATGGGAGGGGAAGGTTTGAGTTAGGAGTTAGGGAAAGAAGGAGAGGAGAGGGGAGAGTAGGGAAGGGCACAGGAAAGAGAAAGGGAATTGCTGTGTACACACCTGGAAAACCATGGCTGGCTGCAGGCAACACCAAGACAAGCTATATCTTCCACTGTGCACCAAGCATAGTTCCTCTATGGCTACTGATGGAAACAGGTTACTGTTCCCCTGATTTTGTGCACGCGTGAAGGGAAGTGTCTTTCTCGGCTTGTTTTACAGGAATGTCACAAGAGAAAAAATGCTACTCTATGATGCAAAAAGAATCCATACATTCATTCACTGAACACACAGTGGAGATCACTGCAAATCTGCCCAGCACAGAGGTCACAAGTACTTCACTGCAAAGAAAAAACCATACATTGTAACCCAGGGACATGAACGCCTTTAAGGTAGCGTGAGGTAACTCAGCGATCTTCCACCAAGCACCACTGTAAAGTGTGCGGCCTGCGTATGCATGGAGCCACATCCACACATGTGCATCCACACACACATATGTACATATTATATATATATGTATATATAATGTGGAGATATTCTCATGTGCTATGTTTTTCCTCTAGTTGAACACATCGATGCATTAGTTTATTGATGGCGAGACAATTCACAAGTTATCTGACAAATATTAATTACCTCTTATTTTGACAGTTGCAGCACTTTTCATTTTCCAAGACTGTCATCACAAAGCAAATTCCAACTTGATAACAGTAGGAGAAACAAAAATATACATTGTGTGTGCACGCATGCACACATGCATGTACGTGTGTGTGGCATATACACAATCTAACTATGTATATATACTTATGTACACACCTATATAAAAATTAAGCACGTGACACATCTGATTTTGGTGAGCACATTGATCTTTGTCCTCTGGGGAGAGGAACTCATTTGGGAATTCTGTTTCCCCTTATCCTCACCTGAAGATAAATTGCGCTTCAAAGATCAGCCCCTATGCACCAGTACCTAATGCTGAAATGATGGGGGCAGACCTCTCGGGACAAATGTTAGACGGTACTACAGAGTTCTCCTCTACTTATCAAGTAGTTGGGTGCCATTTTGGATTGGTTTCTGAGATTGGTTTCATTCCAGATGTGTTTTCATTCTCCTCCCTCTTATGGAGGGATTCTTAAAGAAATCCAATTAGACTGCCTAAAAGGTTGCATGATTTTTTTTTTCCATTTCCCATCTCCCAGTGAAAATGCATCAGTAGCCTGAAGGTATTCCAAGTCAGGACCACATTGGGGGGGTTGGGGGGGGGCGGTGTGTTACAGTTTCTAGTTTTGTGTACAGCCAGATTTCTTTAAGGCTGAGTTTTCATTTCTCCTTGGCCTTGGCTTCATGGGCCCATCCATATTCATCAGCATGGCTGGCCCATGGGGAAATGCTACTTAGCTTATAAAAGACATTTCCAAAGGTGTTAAAATGGTCTTGGGGACTGAGTCTTTCTCAGGAGTGAATCAAAAATGGCAAGCACAGCTCTCCTTGAAAGGTGTGGATGTCACCAGCACCACTCCCCTACGCAGGCCATCCCAGGTCCCTGCAGCTCAACCATACCGTAAAGTGACAACAGTGTAACCTTGATATTCATGACAGTGTGTGCGTATAGATCATGTTTATACTACACAAGTGGAATGAAAAAACATCAAGAAATAATGTTTTTGTAGAACCGTACCCAACAGTATTAGCAACTAAAGGTCTAAAAACATTTATTCCTATAGTAGTTCTGCAGATACCATGCCCTCCCCACCCCCCACCCCCAAATCAGGTATGGAATAATACTGTATGATACACAATAGTGAGCTTGGGACACACTTCATCCCACTGATCTTGAGTTCACCAATCATCCAGAACTCATGGAGAAAGCAAGTGTTGTACACTGCTCAACATCAAACATTTTCTTTTCTTTCTGCACATCCCTTATAATGGATCCAAATATACATGTATATCAGTTTGGCAGCTAGGTCAGGAAAATGTTTAGGACCATGGATATTTTCACCAGCCTGTAAAATTTACATTGGTCCCACCCACATTTGCCAAGATAACTGCTTCCTCCCACTGTCTGCTTACTCCCCAAATCCATCCATGGCCCATTTAGCAGACTCCCCCAGCAGGTTTTCAGGGGGATGCAATGGAGAGGCAAGAGAAAGTTGATTTCGATCCCTTTAAGCCTGCTGCCAGATTTCCCATGGACCATCAAAGCAGCTTTTCTTGAAGCTCAGGGCTTAGAGTCCAGGCCTGTTTCAATAGCTGATATACATGTATATTAATATATATGGCCACAGAAGAGGAGTAAAGACATAATTACAGCTGTACTTGGCAGCATGCTTTTTTAGAGTCAGTATTTGGTTTTAACCACTTGGAGTCTGTACCAGGGGGACATGTTCTGGGTCAGATTGCCTGGGGTCAGAGCTTAATCAAGTTGCCTGGTTTTATTTATTTATAATGGACAGGATGGGGTGGGGGGGGGAGTGAGAAGTTAAGGAGTATGGGAAGGAGGAGGTTTTGGGGGCAGGGAGAGGAAGGTCAAATGATGTAGGAAGGACAGAATGTAGAAGTGGGGAGGGGAAATCTTCTCTATAAGTTTACAAATATACAAAAACAAAAGGCCCAACCTCTTTCAAATAAAAATGACTACATTTTCATCTGGCAAAAAGTTGTATACACATGATTTAAATTTTTTTAATTTTAACAGTTTTTGGCAATCTTAATAAAGTACAATATATTACAACCAAACCAAAAAATAGTTGTTTAAGTAACAGCTGTTAAGAGTGACATGAGTCCCAACACCCCCCCCTCACCCATCCCATCCCACCCGGAAGAGACAGAGAGAAAAAAAAAATCCTCCCATCTTGATAAACTTTTTTTTTTCTTTTAGGAAGCTAACCAATAGGAAGCAACACAAGAAGCGGGTAGTGTCAAATGAAGCTGACCAATCCAGGGCTCTGTATTAGCAGGAGCATCCACCTTCACTAGCTGGGGGTTCTTGTGGTTTGTCCAACTTGATGTCAATCACTGTGGGTGGTTCCATGCTAAGGAAGAATGTGTCTCACCAAAAAGAAACCAAGTTAATTCACTGAGCATCTTGAGAATAATGGTCCATTCCCATCTTTCCCCAGAGGCTGTTTCTAATCATTCATTGCTCTGCAAATATTTTTCTTCAGAAATACACTTACCTTCTTTGCAATTAATGGGCTAGTACACAATTCAACAAATTAAAATTTATGCATGAAAGAAAGGTCAGATCACATAAGCACAGAATTTAAGGGCTAGAAGGCACCTTAGCACTCACCTAACCCAACCTGAACAAGAAAAGAATCCTCACTATAACGTAACTGACAGCCAAGTCTTCTTTCTAAGGAAACCCAGCTACACTGAAACAAATAGGTAAGTATAAGTGTGTGGAGAGAAGTCATGGCCACGAGTTTATAGTGAGCATACCCTCTCTACCAAAGCTTTATTCACCCTCTCCTCTGACAATTTTTATCCTTGATTTCAGGAATTCTGCACTTTTCTGTTTTTCCTCAGACTTTTCTGACTGCTCTTCTGTGTCTGGATCATTATCCATTTCTCATCCCTAAAAGTGGATACTCCCTCAAGGCTCTTCCGTGGGCCTGGATGCTTCTCACTCCACACTCTTTCCCTTGGTGATCTGATCTGACTTTTGGTGGTGGTGGTGGTGAGTTTCAGTAATTCTACCTATGCAGATAACACCCAAATCTATATACCCAGTGTTGTGGAATCTCACTTCCACATAGCCAACTGCTTCGTGGACATCTCTACCTGGATGTCTTTTGGCATCTCAAACCCAACATATTTGAAAAGAAGTGATTCTTTCTGCTCTCTGGAGTGATCTAAATTGCAACTGGAGTGCTTTAAATTATAAAATTGACTTCAGGCTGTACTTCAGACTTGAGGACTTCAATGTAAATACTGAATCACTTAACCCCTTAACCGTTCTGGTCTATTATTTAAACGGCTTTCTCAGCTGCTAAGACCTTCAGGTTCACTCAACCTCAGCCACACACAGGGATGGCTATACTTAGATATCTCTGCCATCCATAATTGCGCTACCTCCAACATCTTGAATTCTGAAATTCCTCTTTGTGATCATAATTTCCTATCTTTTCTTTTCTTCCTCAGCTTTACACCTCCTAAACTCATCCTTTGCTTCTGCTCCCTCTCTCCCCATCCATCACACGCATTCTGACTTTGCTTTCCTAGAATGGATCAGTTATACTTGAATCCCTTCCCCTCCAGTTTTTACTGTTACTGACATTTTACCTTCCCGGCCAATCAGGAGCATGCTGGTAAATGTTTAATAATGATGTTTAACAAAAAAAGAAAAATGTGCTGAAGACATATTTTAAAATTTAATGTGTATCATTAACATTTTCTTTATCATTTTAAGTTCAGACAATCCACAGAACAATAAATTAAGCCCTAATCTGTGGCATTCAACAATTTCTGAATGCTCATGCTAAAAATTTAACAATTGGCTTTAAAGACCTAGTCTAAGTTGGCTTAGACCAATCTTCAACTTTGGTTCATTGTCACTATCTGCTTTCTCCACTCCTACTCCCATATTACTATAGAACACTAGAGGAAGTCATGCAACTGGGCCAAAGGATCCATTACAAATTCATTTTATTCTCATCTCAACGGACCCTCACAGCCATGGTGCAATCCTTTTGCTCTGCTCTGATTATATAGATTTCTATCACACTCCCCAAAATGAGTGTTTCAAACTTTCTCTCTCCTCACATCTCCTATATCTTCTTCATCTCCCTCTGTCTCAACAGATGGCTTCACTTTCCTCTTTACTTAAAAAATTGAGGTCGTTTATCTTGAGTTCCCTCATTTCAAATACTCCACACCTCCAAATCTCCTATACATCGCCAGCTATTCTTAACCCCTTTTTCCAATTTCTGAGGAAGAGATGGGCTCTTTTCCCTGCCTTCTTTCCTTTCTCTAACCTTCTACTTATGTCTTTGATCCCAGTCCTCTCCCATATTCTCTGAGAGTTTGCCCAAATGACCTTCCCTTCCTTTAAACTAGCTCTCATCACCCCATCCTTAAAAACCCTTACTTGACCCTATCATTCCCTCTAATCAGTATTCTCTATCTTTTTTCCATTTTATTGCCAAGCTCACAGAAAGACATATCTGCCCTTGTTGCCTCCATTTCCACACTACCCACTCACTTCTTAGCTATTTTTTTTTTAGGCAGTTGGGGTTAAGTGACTTGCCCAGGGTCACACAGCTATTAAGTGTGTCAAGTGGTTGGTCTGAGGCTGGATTTGAACTCAGGGCCTCCTGACTTCAGGGCCTGTGCTCTAACCACTGCGCCACCTAGCTGCCCCATTTCTTAGCTATTTGTAAACAAGCATCTGATCTCACTTTTTGACTGAAACTGCTTTATCCAAGGTTGTCAAGTTAAATGCCAAATCCATTAGTCTTTCCTAAGACCTCAATCCTCCTTGACATCTCTTTAGCTTCGTGACCCCATTTGGGGTTTTCTTGGCAAAGATATTGGAGTGCTTTGCCATTTCTTTCTCCAACTCATTTTACAGATGAGGAAACTGAGGCAAACAGGGTGAAGTGACTTGCCCAGGGTCACACAGTAGGAGTCTGAGGCCAGATTTGAACTTTGGAAGATGAGTTTTCCTGACTGTAGGCCCCACACTCTATCCACTGTGCCTCTTAGCTGCCCTACCCTCTTTGCTTTAGGGTACTGTGAAAAGAGCACTGGAATCAGATGATCTATATTCAAAACCTTTCTCAGTCACTTCCTACTTGTGTGACCTTGGGCAAGTAATTTTACATGTCTGGGCTTTACTTTTCTCATGTTTAAAATGACGGGGTTGGTTCTTTAAGGAAACTCAATTCTAAGCTATGATTCTATGATCCTTCTACCATCCTCTTCATCTAGCAGTACTTACAGAAGCAAAGAATGTTATTAGTTCACGAGTTTGTTAGGGGAATAAAATCTCTGACCTAGAGGCAGTACAGTTAGGGCAGTGACCTCAAACTCAAAGAAAATGGGGGCTGAGGGGCTTTAACTTAGAAAGCCACATCCCGACGTCTGTGTGCTATTATATTTTTATTTATTTTGTTAAATATTCCCCAATTACATCTTCATCAAGTTCTGGGGATACTTGGGAGTGTTGCAGGACCTATTTTGCCCATGGGGTGTTTGATAACTCTGGTGTAGTGGGTGGGGTCCTGGCTGTAGAGGCAGGAAGACCTCAGTTCAAAACCTGCCTCAGGTTTTGTATTACACAGTATCTGTAGGGCCCTAGGTAACTCACTAAACTTCCCTAAGCCTTAGTTTACCCCTCTGTAAAATAAGGAGGTTGTATTCACAGTGGTTTTAACATTCCTTCCAGCCCCTGTGATGTCTGGCCCTGAATGCTGAGCTCAGACTCTGTTAAGTACTGCCTGTCATTTTTCTTATCTGGTCTTCATTTCTGGCACACAAAAGGAACCTCCAAATCCTTCCTCATTTTGGTAACATAGCCTTCATCTCAGCCCCCTTTGTTTTCATCTCTTATTTTTGCCTTCTGTGCCTTTTTGTTTTTGGTATTATCTTGTAAACTTTTAACAGCTGTTCACTATCCTACCCTCCAATTATACTTCTTTCCCCTCATTATTCTCTCTTCTGTGCCCACTTAACTATCAGAGAATCTGAGAATCCCTACATCAGAAGGGATCACCTGAGGGTCATTTAGTCTGGTGATTCTGCCTCCACACAGATTTATTATCAAATCTAGCCTGTGCCTACTCTGCTATGAAGCAGATGTTACCTCTCTCCTTCATATCCCAAAGGGAGGGAAGCTGTACAACTCAGTGGATAGTATTGGAGTGAAGAACTGAATTCACATTTTGCCTCAGAAACTCACTAGCTGGGTGACCCAGGCAAGTCTTTTAACCTCCACTCTGTCTCAGTTTCCCTATTTATAAAATAAGGGAAATAACATCACCTATTTCACTGGGTTGTGGTGAGTGTCGAATAAGATAACATATGTAAAGGCTTTTGAAAACCTTAAAGTGCTATAGAAATGTTAGTTATTATTATTATTACCACTACTACTACTATCACTACCACTACCACCACTACCACCAGTACCAGTACCACTACTAATGCTGCTGCTGCTGTTGCTACTACTACTACTACTACTATTACTACTACACTGATCTAAGGTCTCAAAGTTCTCAACATCTAGAAGTTCTGTATTATAGAATCAAAGACTTTTAGGATTGGAAGGGGCTTGGGGCTATCTATTCGGACCCATACTCTAAAAGAACCCCTGTTCCCATTATTACATATCTGAGAAGTGATCATCCACCTTCTGTTTGAAGCCCTCCAATAGGGCAAGGCCCACTACCTCTAGAGGCATCCCATTAGATTTTTGGACAACTGGGTTCAGAAGATTCTTCCCTGACATCAAGCCTAAATTGATCTCTTGGAAATTACCATTCCTTGCTCCTGTTCTCTTCTCTCTGGAGCCAAGGAGAACAAGCCTAATTCTTGTTTTTCACACTTAAAGAGAGCCATCATGTTCCCCAGCGCCATGGTGGGAGAGTTGGGGACGAAAGCCACAGAAAGCTTTCTAGTCAACATATTTCCCAGTTGCTTCAACTAATCCTTACATGACATGGTCTCAAGGCCCTTCACAGTCCTCCAGCTGATACTGAACCCAAATTCCTCCTGTCACCATTTTAAGCTTCTCCCATCTCTGCCTAATGAACGATCTTTCCCTACTTACTCACAGCTGATATGTATTGTACTTTATGTACACAATCTAACTGAAGCCTAATAACAACCCTGTTAGGCAGGTAAATATTATTATGCCCATTTTACAGATGAGGAAAACTGAAGCTCAGAGAGATTACTTAAGGTCATACAGCTACAAAATGTCCAAGATGGGATTCACACTCAGGTTTTCCTGACTCAGGTCCTGCCCTTTATACACTATTGTTGTTCAGTCATGTCTGACTCTTCGTGACCCCATT